GATCCTATCAACAACATAGCAGTTTAATTATGTTGTCGACACAGAGTGCTAATGGTAAAACGAAAGATGATAAAACTAACGATGGAATTATCCGAACGTTTAAAAGTTAATTTAGTTGTGGGAGGGAGTCGTTTGTTTGGGTTGATTAAAAGTAAAACAATTATATATCTTAAAAAACGCTTTTCTAGAGTTTTATTTGTTTGTTCTATGGTTGCCATATTTAAACATTTTTTTTAAATCAAAAACAAATTTATGTTCATCATGAAATTGGAAAAGTTTCTACATAATGATGAAATACAATGTCTGATATGACATCATCAGCCGTTAACCCCTTCCGTGAAAAAATTATTTATAATAATTTTTTAACCAAAATAGAAAAAATAAAATTGCGTTTATGAATTTTTCCTCGTATGATATGTTGTACTTGAAATATGAAACAACGACAATCAGATAAAAACAAATGGAAAGTAACTGACCGTTGCTGGCTTTTGTTGGGTTTGATGCTTCATCCTGGATGGCAGTGTTGAGAGTTGTTTGCAAGCAAAAACAACATAAAAATATTATTATTGGGTTGATCATCGTGTTTTAGTTTTTAAATCAGTTACTTTTGATTATATTTAATTAAAAAAGTTATATTCTACGAAAGTTTTTATCTTGAAATCAACTCTTTCTTCTAACAAATGATGCGTGTAAAACTGTTAAGAAGTGAACTAATAATAAGATAAGTTGAATTAAATTATTAATAATTAATTAACTAATTCAATCCCGATAATGTTGAAGAAGTGTATCATAAACCTGTCATAAGTAAAACAAGAAACGTGAATGTTAAAACTTAAAAGTAACAAATGTTTATGCTCATGTTGATGTTCATTATAAAAAATTATTCTCTGTTGAACAATTGATCTCAAACAATATGCCGACTCACGCCTTCTTATGAGAAATTCACTACAATTTCCATCCATATGTCTTTGTATGTACATGCACACACATTATGTGCTGTGGTATATATGTATTATATATGCAAAACATTTATGTGCGTGTGTCTACATGAACAGGTGTATATGTATAGGGTACATTCTATACCTAGAAAAATATGAAGATGCACGCATTCACAAACATTTATTTGGTGAGTGTTTGTCTGTGTGTGTGTGTGTGTGTGTGTGTGTGTGTGTGTGTGTTTAGTTTATGTACAAATTGTGTAGTTTAAAAATTTGTATTATATATTATTATTTATTAATATTAAGAGATGTTTATTAGCGCTGATTAAAACTGTTCCATGAACGTTCACATTAAAAAACAAAATGTACGTGTCTGTAAATGAACAACAACAAATAAAAAAGTCACATTTTTCAGGAAATAAAAATGTTTTTAATTCTCTCTAAAAATTTTTCCAATGAGAGTTCTGATCTTCTCAACGCCGGTGGAAGACTATTCCAAACAGTGGGACCAGCAACTGCAATATCTCTTGAACCAATTTGCAAACGTGTAACTGGTACAGACAGCAAATTCAAATCATCCGACCTGAGATGAAAAGTCGATGTAGGTTGTTTTTCGGCGAATTTACTTGTCACATATTCTGGTGACATACCATTCAATAATGCCATTCTTTTATTTATCGTCGGCCAGTGAAGCTCGTTCAAGATCGGTGTCACGTGATCAAATTTTAGGCAACGACTAACAAGTTTAGCAGCTCTGTTTTGTAGAGACTGAAGGATTGTGAATGATGTGTCCGGTAGTTTATAAAACAAACTGTTGTAATAATCTAAACGAAATGTAATGAGGGTACAGACCAGCGTTTCCAATGTTGATCTATCTAGTGATTGCCTGATTTGATACATGCTTCTGAGGTAGATAAAACTCGAGGCCCAAATCTATCCTGTGTGTTTGTGTGTGTGTTTGTGTTTATATGTTCAGAGAGATGGTATATATATATATATATATATATATATATATATATATATATATAGAAAGAGAGAGAGAGAGAGAAATGAGAAATGATGGCGGCACTAATAAGTCTGGTTTATCGGGAGAGAAAATATGAAAAGAAAAAACTGAATTAATAAGAATAGTACAATGTTGAAAGTTGATTAATGAAAACAATACAGCGAAAGTTGAATTTATAAAAAACACATTAAAAAATATATACAATAAGAGTTGAATTAATGAAAATAAATGCATTGACAACCTTTACAAAATGCACTTTATCTATGAAAAAAACTTCAAGGTCCAATAAACTATTAAGCAGTAAAACATTTAGAACATAGTTTTTTGAAAGATAAATTTAGAAGAGAGTTTTTGCAAAAATCATATATTACACATAAATTGTTAAATGGAAGACCAAGACACACAAAACAAAACTGAATATGAAAGAAAGAGGTCTTGCTTTTTAGAGAAGATTCTATAAAAGAATAACATAACAACTCAACTACAAATCAAGACGACAACTCGCTACTCAACAAGTTAACTACCCAACATCACAATTAAACAACATCCCACAACAACAGAACACACGTCAGTCACTACAACAACACAACAATGTAGCACATAAAAGCCTAGGCAGGGTTTTAGGTAGGCAGGTGCACAGCGGGGAATGTAAACATAATTAAACAACTTCATCCCGCCGACTGACTGCACCTTGCTTTTTATGCGCGTCTCGTTAAAAATTCGAAAAACAAAAGTTAATTGAAATTTTGATGATTCATCTTATTTTCAGATGAATAGAAAGATATAATCCGTTGAATTAAGTAAGCACCCATCTTGTGTCAACGGCACAGTTGGTCTGCTAATTTCACGCCAAAAGTTGAAAATGTTTTTTTTTATGAAATAATTTAATAACTGTTGTTATTGTTAATGATTTAAACGGCAGTTCAACAAATGTTTAAAGAATTTAAAATAGTTTAATAAAAATTTTAATTCACTGGAAACAATCTTGACTTCTTTATTTTGTGTTGACCAATCTAGCAACGGATTTATTTTAGAGTTTTTTTTACGACTGTCAAACTTTAAGTGAACAAACGCATTAATTAAATTTTATTTATTTATTTTTATTTATTTATTTATTCATGTAAATTTGTAAAGAGTAACATGAAAAGGACACACAAAAAGTGTAACACATAATTAGTGTGTGTACCCTACATAACAAAATATCTTAAGATTGCTTTTTTGAGTACAAATTAATGATTTGGTACATAAATTGCACAATCAATCGAGTCATTTTCTATAATATTATATAGAGCTTACAAAAATTAAAATCGTTGAAGTTAAACAAACAAAAATCAACTTTTTTCCAGACCCTGCATTAGTTTAATCATAGTATTCTAAGTAAATAGTTTTTTTTAATTATATATATATATATATAATTTTAGAAAACTATAAAGTAAATAAAATTTTCAAAAATTAAAGCATATGTACTGTGTTAATTTGTTATTGCAAGATATTAATTTTGGTGAAATCATTTATAGATGTAAATAAATACAAGTAAAAATTAGTTGAATCAACCTTCACCAAGTTGTTTATTTTATTTTTTTTGATTAAATTTAATTATTGCGAACAAACATGAAATTTTTAATTATTGTTAAATTTCCGTGCCTACCTATTACTTAATTTTTAATACTTTAAATGTAAACCATTTTATTACACTATATATGAACAAACGACAAATAACATTCAAATGGGTAGCGAGGTGTTGGTGTGAAAATAAAAGAAGGAAGATGATGAAATGAACAATAATGCATAAAATAATAATTAAAACTATGGAAAATGCACTTGGAAACAATAAGATTTTCGACTTGCTATTACCCTAACCATAGTGTTGGAGTCGGAGATTTTTGCAGTGCCAGAGTCAATCTGAGTTGAAATTTTTTGAGGGGTCGGAGTCGAAGTCGGATATTTTTCATACCAGTCAGTAAAGTTTCAAGAATTCGAATTTTAAATTTTTTTATTCTAAAAATAAGATATGTTGGCGATACAGCTTTAATAGCAGATTCAATGGAAAAACTGGTTTTTAAAAGTGAAAAGAAAGGCTTGCAAATTAACATCAACAAAACAGGTTATCAGTAAAAGCAAAACCGCCCCGATCTACAACATAATCATTAATGGTAAACAGGTGAAACAAGTCAACAACTTCAATTATCTCAGAAGTCTGATTACCTCAGGTTGTAAATGGGATGTGGATCAAACGAAGGAGAGCTATGGTGACAGATGCATATTCTAAAATGAAAAACATCCTCACCTTCAGAAAAATCAAGTATCAACAAAATTAAAACTGTTAGAGTGTTACATTTTTCTGTGCTCACTCACGGCTCTGAGAAAGAAGAAGAAGATTTAAGTAAAATTTTTAAGCAAAAGTTTGGAAATATTTTATTGGAGTCGGAACCCGGAGTCGAAGTAGTGAGTTGGAAACTTTTATCTGCAGTCGGAGATGGATTTTTTAAGGATCTGGAAAGGACCAACTTCTTAGTTATAATAAATGGCGGCGTGATTGTCTAATGAATAAGGTCGCCTGGTGCTGTTCCGCAGTCGCCTGGTTCGAATATGATAAAAAGATCCCCGTCTATCACATGTTTCGTGTGTGATGCGTCGTTTAGCACGTATTCATTTACGATTGAGTTCTCTGAACTTTGGAATAGTGTAAGACTTTTTTTAATCTAACCTTTTAATAAATACCTTTCTTAAAAGCTGCTTTTACTTCCAGAAAAGTTTATATTGGGAAAAAAATAAAAGGATGAAAGGCAATATTCTAAAAATTTTTAAGATAAAATAATTTAAATAATTTAAGTATGCAATTTTAAGCATACAATAAAAAAAATAATTTAAAGTAAATGACGATACCAGTCTTATATAGGCTACTTATAATCATCTCATAATAGTCTTGAAGGTTTACAATTTTAAAAGTTTTTGGCTCTCCATACAATTGTCTATTTTTATTCTATATATATATATATATATGTAACATATTTTTGGCCGTCTTAATTTATGTCTTGTTTAGTAAATAAAATACTAGGCCTGGTTTTAGTTTTTGCGTTAAAAATTGTAACTAAACGAAGTTATTTAATTGCGTAAGATGAAACATTCTAGTAGAAAATTAACAGAGGAACTGAGCATGGCTCAAAGCAGCTTGTCAGATTTTCTAGGATCAGATATGAAAATGTTAGTGTTAGAGTTAGTTGTTACCAAAAATCAGTTGACTGTTATTGTTATGGGAAGATTGTTGTTGTTTTTATTAGCCAAGCAGAAACTTCTGTTGATTTTGTCCGAAGATGAATTGTTTGAAGTTCTGTTGAGTTGTTGGGTCAGTTGAAAAGATGTTAATTAAACATTTTGAGAACTGTTGTTACATTACATGCTAGGCAGATGTTTTGAATGTTTGGGTTGATTCTGTTCTGGTAGTCGTTGAGGAAATGACAATGGCCTGATCTTAATTGTGCTAATAATCTTCTTGGTCGTTCTAGGTAGTGTTTGTTCTATTGGATTTATGTAGACTGTAGAGAATTATATCTTTCATTGAGTAAAATGAAAAATGCATGTAATGTAGGATACAGAAACTAGAGACCTAGCCAATATTTGGCCAAAATTTGACATTTGGCTTTGGCCATTTTAAAGCAGAATAGCTGAATAATGCATCTTCTGTAATAACCATAACTTTTTGGATTCTAGAGCAATTGTTTAACATTAGCAGAAAATTTATAGCATATATTTTTGCCATCATAGCTGCTTAAACATCTGATTTTGCCCAAAAAATTTAATATCATCTTGATAAAGAGTTTCTGGGTTGACATGAATCACTTACCGTTTTTTAAGAGTTTGTTTTTCAATCTAAAAAAATAATTTTGTCAAAATAGTGTGTTTTTCAATATTTGGCATTAGCCAGACAAGCATTACTTATGTCCAAATTTCCATCATACACTGTGGCTTAACTGGAGCCACAAAATGTTTTTATTTGTACTTTTCAAATCAGTAATTTTTTTTGAGTGTTAAAAAAATTAAGACATTATTCTATTATATTAATTAAAAAAATTGGTTTTATTAAATCTTGAAACCATCCAACAAAGTAGGTCAGGTCATTTTTGTTATATAATGAGCTTTTTCGACATAGGCTAATATATCTTAAGATTTAGGAACTGATACGTATAACAAATGCCATAATAAGGGTTCTTGTTGAAATATCAAAGCTAATACTATTTAAATTTTATATAATTTTTATTATTAATTTAAAAAAATCTATTTATTTTTTTGTTTTTAAAATCTGTAGATATTTGAATCTTTTAAAATCTTGGTTCAAGAAAAAAGTAGGTAGAGTATTTTTTTTTATTTTATCTGTTATTATTTTCATCTGTTTGCTTCAAGTGTAATATTCAAAATATTTACTTTTTTTTATAGCTTTATATATAATCTTCAGTTTTTTAAACATTATTGACAACTTTTTGATAAATTTTTGTAACTTTTCAAGATATCTAAGCAAGATTTTGACTTAGAAGCTAGAAATCTTTTGTGTTCTGATTCAAGTAAGATCCATTATTTTCATTGCAATGCCAGTACATCATATTAATTAATGTACATTTTCTTGATATTTCTGAGTGTTGATTATATTTTATTACATTTTACAGTCCACCTGCACAACAACTTCCTGTTGCTGCTGCTTGCAAAATGTCAAAGTTTTGGATCTTCAGCATGTTAGTCAATTATCAATTTCATGATATTTTTGAATTAGAATCTTTTTACACATTTTTAGAATGTTTTTAGTGTATAATGTATCTATTTGGTTATTTTGCATTTTGGTGTCTTGAAATTCAGTGTTGAATGACGATTGGAAGTCAAGTGACAAGAGATTGCAGGACAAGACATTCGGTGACAGAATACATGCATCCTCGTCTGTCTCCCTGCAGGATGGCTCCAATGTAAGGACATCCTCCAAATTTTTTTTTACGAAGAAATTTTTATTCTGAAATGTAAAATTTTTAGTTTTCAAATTTATTGTTTGATTTTTCAAAAAAATTTAACTAATTGTGAACAGTATCTAATTAAATATTTCCAGTTTTTCATGAAGGCTGATCCACTGAGCATCGTTCCACAAATTCCTTTCCAAATGCCTGATCCTGAAGCACTCACACCTGGTTGGCAGGCCATCTACCTCATTCTTCATATCCATTCATCACATGTATACGTCATCTTAATTTGCCATATTAATTCATCTTATTTGTTCATCCAACTCATTCATCCACCCCATTCACCTTATTTACTACACCACATTCACTCATTATTGATTCACCATACATCATACGAATGTAGGTTATGCGTCATTGGAGAACTTGCTACCAGATGCGAGCATGGTGCATGGGAGGATGCTGGTCGGTGCGTGGGAGAGAGGATTGCTCAGTGTCGATGACCAGTGTGTTCATCTTCTCAAGTTCGCCATTGAGGTGTCTTTGTCATTTTGCTCATGGCCACTTTCAATAAATGAGTTGTTTTATGAAGTTTTAAGGTGCTTCAAAATATTCAACTTCTCTGTGGTTTTTTTAAAAATTACGTTACAACTTAGAATGATAATACGTAATTGTCCACTTTTATAATGGAAAGTTTTGAATTAACTTTTTTTGTGGCATCAGATTTTGTTGAAAAACATACTATCGTCATTATCGAGTCTCAAGTACAACAAACATTCCATGGACTCATCATTCTACGTTGGAGATGGCGGTTTCAAGCAGAAATCATTATTCAATTATTCATCAACACCCAACTCTTGTGAACTCTTGTAAGGGTTCAAATTATTTCTTGCGGTTGTGGTTGTTCATAATGTGTGTGTGTGTGTGCATGTGTGTGCATGTGTGTGCGTGTCTGTGTTTGTAATATAAAGTAATATAAAACTAAAAGTACTATGCAATTTTTTACATTACAGTCTGGAAGTTAATGATGAGCCTATGCTGCTTGACGATGAGAATGATGTCGGTGGTTATGACGATGACGATGATGACAGTGATGGTTGCAGTAGTATGGGTGAAGTGAGTTCATGTTTGGATGAAGTGTCCATGCCTCACTCATCCTCCAAATCATCCATCCATCATGCTAACCTTTTCGATCTCTTCAACGTCTTCACGGTCAGTGCTCTTCTCCGAAAATTTTATTGCCGTTGTCTTTTGTGTCATTGATTATGTGGATGTTGTTTGTACTGTATGTATACTGCTTGTACAATGTTACTTGATGAATTGTACAATGTTACTTGATGAATTGTACAATGTTACTTGATGAATTGTACAATGTTACTCGATGAATTTTACAATGTTACTTGATGAATTGTACAGTGCTACTTGAAGTGTAATGTTACTTGATGTATATAAAATGTAACTTGCAGACTCGGAAGAACATAATACCATGCCACGCATTGTACACGTTAAACATGGAGCGCATCATCAACACCATGTGGCATCCTTCATCTCAGGAGGAGGAGGAGCAAGCTGACGTCTCACCTCTTTCTACTAATCCCTCCACTACATGATGTTCACCTAATTTTTTTTTACAGACTTTTCTTTTTTATTTTTTTTTTTATCGTGTAATGGTTTTGTTTGTCTATTTGTTGTTGAATATGTTTCAATAACTCTCGCCTAAAATTGAATCCAAAATGTGACAGTATACTCCATTATGAGGCAGATCATCCATAATGGTGACCCTATACTGGGCTTCCTAAATTCAATTCGTCTTGTTTTTGAAAGAGAAGATTTTCTGTTTCAACTGCAAAAATCTAGAATTCGCTACCTGTAGATTTGATGATATTCGTTAGCATAAGCCGACATGTTTTTAGAGGCCATCCACAATTCCTTGGACATAGATGCAAATTTTTTTATTATTCTTTAAAAAATCAGAATCTGACAAACGCAGAAATTGTTACAACATGCAAGGCAATAATATAAAAGAAGGGATACTAGCATTCATTCATTTTGTTACTCGTGTCAATAAAAACTTTTGGTTTGGTATAAAATTGATCAAATGTGTACATTTTATTTATACCCGAAATGTCATGTAAAATAAAAGTTAAAACAAATTTGTTGTCATTTAAAATTGTGTAAAATTAATTTAATCGTGCTTAATCATTTCATCGTGTTTAAGAACAATGTTCCATATTCCTTATTCAACATTTTGTGAGATTTCACTGTGTAGGTCCGTCACATGTAGAATTACTTAAGTTACAGTAACTTCATGTTACAATATCGCCTCTTGCTTGGTTGCAATTGAGCTTTTTTGCCATAACAGCCGCAATGTTGGCACTGTTGGACGGACACGCATTCTTGTTTACAACAGCGTGTTAGCTTGTTCACCCGTCTTGCGACTCGTTTGTGTGTGTGAATAAAAATTTTATTTGTTGATGCTTATTTATTAGGCATGAATTTGTACAACCGTCAGTTTCAGCTTTCAACCGTGTCATATAGAAAGCGGGAAATATAGGAAGAGGCAAATGTGCACGGTCAATGGGGCATGAAAACAAATTAATGTAAATATTGAATAAAAAAATTAGTGATAAATTGTTTTACATAAAAAAAAACACAAATCCCAATTAATAATTTTTTAAAATAATATTCGGTTGTTTATCGACCACTTCTCAATGATCAATTTTTTATCATCCCCAGTGGGACATGAAATTAATAAAAAGTCAGTCGCTCATCATCACGGGAACTTCTTAAATAGTTTTTAAGCCGAGCAGTAGTTGAAAGGATCCGTTCATTTAAAACTGTGGACACAGGAATTGTCAAAACCATGTTAATTAACAGTTTTATATATTGTTGTTGGTTTTAGTAATGCTGATAACAGATAAGATAACAAGGAATGTGTTGATATTGTCAAGTTTATTTTCTTGACTCTTTCGATTTAGAATCAAATTGATATCAATTTCTGCAATCTGGTAGTACTCAGTGAAAATAAAAACAAAAAAAGTTTTCACAACATGGATCAAAAAGCTGTTAATACATCAATAATAACGACGAATTGCGTGTCAAATTCATTCGACATCCTGATCCTGTCCAATTTTTCAAGTGCATGTTCACTTAATAAATTCAGGTAGACGCACTGTGGTTGGATGTGTCTGTCCTACTGATTAACTGATAACACAAGAAATGTAATTAAATTTGAATTACCACAGGTAACGCTCGAATTTTTTTATTCATGATGTGTGGTATTAGAAGTATGAGTGCTATATAGTATGTGATATTTTACGTATATGGGCACGATGTTTAAGCAGTAAGCTTTTTGTCTAAAACCACGGCTATATATAATGGATATGGCAAATCTCATATGTTTATATCATATAATATTTGACATATATTAAATTTATTATAGTATATAATAGTTATATATGGTACATATATATTTTCATACATCGATTAAAAAAAATTTTGATTCATAGAACCAAAAACCTAAAACAGGATAGCTGAACTGTCGTTGTTGTAAATTGTTTACGGAGATGGCGATATTTCAAAACTTTATGTAAAACATTTTTTTAAATCTTGCTAAGATTGGTAATGACGATTTAAAAAGTTATAAATATTACATTCTATTTTCATTATGTCACAAAATAAAGTTTCAATGGACGTACCAGGAGTGTCCAACGGCAAGGTTAGCGTAATTTAGGGAAAATTTGCTTGTTTGCTTTGCAGTTTCGTTTGTTTACTGGTTTACTTTTTTTTAACTTTAAAATTTTTAATTATAATGGATTTTTTAATTAATAATTATTATTTGATTAAAAGCTTATGCTTGCCCTTAAATTTTTCATAGAAATTGCTATATATTTGTTTGATTTTCTAATTTAAAAAATGATTAGACATTAGGATTAAAATATTAGATCAGTTTGTCAGTTAAGATTTCTCACATTATTAATTAAAATGAACTATGCAATATGGGTCGGACTTGCTACACTGCAAATATATTATATTTCATTATGTGCTATATGTAAGTACTACCTCGGGAAGTACTTAAATATAGCATTGATTGATTCTTCGTTTAACATCCAGAGACCCAGTTTCTCGAGGTAGGACGTTGTTTTCTTTGCCATCAATTTTTTGCGCCAAATTAGACGATCATTTGTATCAATTTCATTTAGAATATGCCCTGAACGAAGATTGATTGCTATATGTAAGTAACGTTTTAATTCAAAAACTAACTAAAGCAAAACACAATGGAACAAAATAATTTTTGGTCAATAGACATTTGGTCTCTCTCTAACAGTTTTATCTAACTGGTTGGTTTCTATATTTTTGGACCTTTGGTGCCAATTTTTTGGATGGATGGTCCTATATTTATTTGGACAATTAGTTCTTGAAGATGGTCAGTTCTATATTTAATCCATAGAGATGGTTGGCGCTACATTTATTTGGAGAATTGTTCTAATTGGGAAAAGTTATAATTTATAAAAATTATCCACATCCAAGAAGATGTTCTGGGCATGACATAAAACTGCATCCACGCTGCCTTGCATGCTTTTAAGCAAAAGGCTAGGCCCACCGCTTATAACTGGTGGTTGTAGTTAGGATGGGTGTCCGGATGTAAAAACTTTTCCCTAAATTACTCTTATGCCATCACAAAGAATGTCCTACCTTGGGGAACTGGGTCTCTGGATGCAAAACGAAGATTGATTGATCAAGAAGAAAAGAAATGTAAAAAGTATGCTTAAGCCTTAGATGTACACCATCGGCCTCGACAGCCCCTGATGGACAAATGAGGATCATTGATTGATCCACATCCAAGCAAATAATTCAATATTGACATTGCAGCATGTGACATAATAACCACGTTAAATTTAATTTTATTAAATTATCTTCATTTTTCTGAAAACCACTTGGGTCCAATGGAACATATATTCATGCATGGAAACGTCAGGGAATATATTATTTGCCAACCTCCAAACAGTTTTTTCAAAGTCACCTGCAAGCATATTTTTTAATTAAAAATTTAAATGTAAAGAATTTTGACATGAATAACTTACAAGTAATGGATTTCAGGTTCGGTTTGACACTCTGTTTGACCCATTCCAAAATGCTGTCATAATCCTTCTTTGATTTTCTACTCATTAAACAAAATAGGACTGGAACATGAACAAAATAGTCTTGATGTTTCATAAATGAATCGGTTGTGCACAACCTATTAACAAACAATTTGATCATTGCCTCTGTAACATTTTAATGGATGATTCTAATGATTGAATACTAAATTGCCATCTATAAACCAGTTTTCTGCTCTTTTGAGAAGCAATAGCTGGTTGTATAATGCAATAATTAAATACCAGCCCTTTGCATCTTTCAAATCAGTATTCAAAAAATTCAATGGCATTACTGTGACATTAATTTCAAATGTCAAAGTTGTTGGGTGCTTTGGTCATTTCTTTTCTTAGCATCTTGTTGCATTTTGTGCAAGGTGTTGCAGATTTAAAATGTCGATTGGCCTACCAATTTCAACATTTTTCTTTATGGCATAAGAATATAAGGGTTTTTATTATTTAAATGTTATGTAAAATTTGAGTAGCAACAAATCTAACTGTTTGACAATGTCCAATGCAGACATAAAGACCAAATAAATAGACCAAACATTTTAGGAAGCATACATCCAGAGTTCATAATTTTTAAATAAGCAAGCGTAGTGTGACTATGAAATTACGGTCTATGAAATTTTAATTTAGTTTCTGATTTATCTTTTCAGACACTTCATGTGCCTTTACCTGCAAAAGTAATAGGATAAATTGCTATTAACATGATTTATATTTTATTTGTAACCTTAAAAATAGAACTGCCATACTTGCATACTAATGATTATTTTCTATATTACCTTTGTCAGATAACCCATTTTATAAACTCAATTATAAATTATTGTCATTAATTATTTTTAAATATACACAAAATACATTCGAATCTATCTCCCTTATACAAAATTTTAAATTGTAACTTGTTTTTTGGTTAATTTTTGACTACACAACATATTTGTTTCATTTGCTTTCAGTCTGAAAATGGAGAAACAACAACAGAAGAGGAACTGGTAAATAGCTATTTTTTTATTTTCATCACTTTAATTTGAATGAAAACTTATTTAACCATGTTCTTTTATAATAATTCTTGTGATGTAATCAAATTCAAATTAAAAAAATTTTTGCTTCTGTTTTACGATATTGTAGACTTAGTTTAACTTAAAAAAATTATTCCCTTCCTTCATGGAGGAGATGGGGGAAATGTTAGGGGCGTTGTGTATTGTACCATTTCAACTAAAACTTTTTGATTCTTTAGTTCGATCAAATTATCAAATAAATTCCAATGCATAACTTTAAGATTGTGAACGTGTACATAAACACGGATGTGTCTACTTGTTGCATGAAGTATGTTTTAGTAGAGAGAACTGAAGTTAAATTATTTAAGAAATGTTATCTATCAAGTTATTTTTAATGTTTTCAGGAATGTTTAATTTTAATTAAAATCATATATAATTAATGTCTTCTTTTCTTTTTTTTACACATTTACATTTCTCATGTTAAATTAATTATAGTTTAATTTTTACAGTGAAATGTTTCAAATAGTCAATAAATTTAAATCACTTTTAAAATTCAGAAAGCACTGCATGAATTTATAAATGAATCTAAAGAAAGAATTGAATTCAAATTGAAACTTCGAGAAGAGAATTTAAAAGCCCTCGGTATGTGTATATTTTTACATATTTATTCACACATATGTTTCAATATTTATATGCTGTATGTTTATGCATGTTTGTTTGTGCGTGTGTGCCTGTTTGTGTATATGATTTCAACATTTCATTAACTTTGGGAATTTATGTTCAATGCAGACGAGAGACCAGATGAATCCTTCTTCAAGAAGTTGGACTCGAACCTCAAGAAGAACACGGCTTTCGTTAAGAAACTGGTTTGTGTAAAAAGTGTTCATTTCAATGATGTCGATTGTTGACTGACACATTAACATGACTAACATTAGGATTGGGATTTTGTTGTTATCAAATGTTTTTTTATTTTTTCTAATGCCAAGACATGAAACATGAGATTATTTGCATTCAAATTCCAGTGAAGAATTGTAGTGGACCTTTTGTTTCATTTCATTTTTTATCTACTGAGATTTTGCAATTGTTAAATATCTAAATTGATCGGCAAGCATACTTTATAAAATCTTCATTTAGAAAACCATATCAGAAGGCCAGAAAGATGCCATCATGAAGGAACTGAAAGCTCTAAACTTGACAAAATATATTGGAGAAATAGTGAGTATGCTTCATTCATTGATTGAATATCTTTTGCATCGAAGCAATTAATGCTAATGGAACATTCAAGTAAATAAATGATCCCTCATTTATCACCCGATTATATTGTTATGACTGCTGGATTGGTCGGAATTAGTTATCATCAATTAATTATTGTTATCTTGTTATATTTGTTATCTTCGCTATTTGTCAATGATTGTAAACCATATAATCTTTACATAGCATAGAAGAGGATTGTAAAAATCTACTGTGGAGGCGATATAAGTGGGTGCGAATAGTGAAGTTAATAGTGAGGTTTGAAGCAAAGTTGTAATGGTGATTTATGTAGTTTCATGGATTAGTTTAGTGTTTCCATTACTGTTGGCATTCAAATAAACGTTCAACAAAGTTTGCGTTTGAAGCAGTTGTGTTCATTGATCAGATGTCTTGAACCTATGGTATAACACTTGACGATCGTTGGAAGCTACAACACTGGTGTTGGAAATATAGAGATCTTTTAAGTTATAACATTGTGTCGTTAGTAAAGAACGCCAAAGATTACAACAATAGGTTTTTCAAAACCATGCCTATTTTTTAGTTTTAGTAATTTTTTCCCGTTGAATATTATGTAGGCATCATCACTGGTTGAGGCCAAACTGAAGATGTCAGATGTGAATTGTGTGTTGCTCGTCTGCTCAGCTCTTCATCAGAGGTACAGTGAATTTGCTTCGTCATTTCTTGATCAGTGGCAAAAAATTCTTCTCAGCAAAAAAGATGAAAAGGTTTTGTGTGTTTCGTGTTATAATGCTGTCATATTATTTGAAAGGCTTGTATGTCATGTATTGAAGGTTTTATAATATTTCATATGGTTATTTTTCTTTATTCTGATCATTATTATTATTTATATTATTATTATTATTTACTTTTACATATTCATTATATTTATTATTATATATTCTCACTTGTCTCACATTTGTTATCATTATTTATCCTCACTTCCAACTTGATTTCTAGTAACAACTGCTAAATACGATAGCTCATCTTCATTTCGTAATTAATTGTGGTAATAATAATTATCAAATGATATATCAGCATTTTTTTTATGTTGTAGGTAAGTTATAAAAAATTGATTAGCCTTCTTAGTAAGAGGTGAACATTTAGCGTGACAACTATGCTGATAGGGTCAGTGCCATATTTTGACAGAGAGAGAGAGAGAGGGAGAGGAAAAATTATTGAGGGGCAGACATTTTTGTATGTGTATTTGATATGCAGTAAGTTAACAAATAACATTGTTTTTTTTTATGTCCCTGGCAGATACTGAACCCTGGCAAGTTGCGGGTTGATCTCCGTCTGTTTGCAGACCTCACATGTATTGCCATCTTCCCAGAGAAGGAGGCTCTCAACATTCTGGCCAACCAGCTGAACCTGCTAACTTGCAATGATAAGGAGGAACACATCAACCTGAGCATCATCATGAGCTTCTGTAAGCACTGTGGAGACGACTATGCTGGTCTTGTTTCTCATAAATTCAGGTTCATTTTATCACTTCATTTCAACATACAATTAATAATGTTCTTAATGTCAGAAATTTGATTTTTAGAGAATTGTACCTACCATTTTGACTACCTCACTGCTTCATTTATTTATTCCAATTGAAATTTTTATCCAGAAAAAATCCAAAACTTTCACATTGTCAGTTTTTCTTTTTAATATACTTAACAGATTTTCTATCTGTATATTTTATATTCATATTCATTTACATTTAAAACAATTTCATGTTACTAACAGGATTTTATCAGAAAAGTTTAATATTGAGGTGCCACACAGCTCGGTTAGTAATTTTTATATTTAATAATTTTCAAATTTTTTAAGATGAATTTGTTTAGTGACATATAGAATATACTTGTACGGTATAAAATAACAGAAAAACTGTTTTTTGTATTTGTTTCATGTATTTGTTTGTTTTAAAAATAAGAACTAATTTATTAAAACTTGGGATAAGAATAATCATAATCATTTACCTTTTATTTTGTAATCAAAGAAAATGTTCTTAGTAAGTTGTGGTTTCTCCCTTATGCTTGCCATCATGTTTTATAGGTCATTTTGTTTGTTCATGCACAAACTAATGCACACTAAACAAATAAAAAGCAATTCAGTATTTAAAATATTTCTTAAACCGATGAAGAGCCAATGACCATCTGAATGTCAGCTGTGAAAGTTCCTTGCAAATCTGAACAAATCATTCATTTTACTTGCATGTGTGATAGATACAATGAAACTAAATTAATTAATTCAAGTACCAAAGACAGACAGATAGAAAACCGGTTTTCCAATTAAAACCTTTTGGATTTTTTAAACTATGACATTAAGAATTACATTTTATTAAGCTATAACACTAAGAGCCACAATTAGTAAAGTATTAAATACTCCAGAACCAAACGGTACATTCAAGTTTAATCTCACTTGTGAAATGGTTATTGTGGTAGCTCCCCAGTGCTTTCTTTCATGTTTAATGCTTTTGTATTTATAATTTTAATAAGTGTGTACCATATGATCAAACCTACATATTAGTTTTTGAAGAAGGATCGACAGAAGGCTTGCCGTGTCTTGCTGAAAGATTATTACAACAGCCTCGCCAACCACGTCATCCAGGAGTGCAAGCTCATCCGAAGTCAGGATAAACAAAACAAGAAAATTATCCAGGTTGTTGTTGCTATGAATTGGTTGTGTGACTGGTTGCTTTCTTTTGCTATGGTGTATGTGATTTTGTTTCATATGAAAGCTTGCATCAGCTGCTCTAGCTTCATTATGTGTAAATATACATTGTTTTCTATACAAATAAGATGATTAATTATGAGAAAAATACCATACGAAAAACTGAACCAGAAAATGATCAAAGCTGAAAATGATCTTAACAACTATACTTGAAAATAAACAATCGATTTTTTTTTTTTTGAAAAAAATGTAAAGAGTTTGATGACTGACGGCGTGTGTTAAATTATTGTATACTACATTTATAGTAAAATTTTAGATACGCTGATAAATTGCTACGAACTTCGATAAAAACAAACATAATTTTTACACACCTTTATACATATATGAATACATGAAAAATACTTTTACATAGTAAAATACAAAAAATAATTATGACGCAATTTTTTTAAAAATAACATCTTGGTTGACGCAATCATACGCTGCTGACATGTTCAAAAACGTTAGTAATGATGTTATGAGCGTCTGTAGCAGCAAACAAATTTGACAGGACATGCAGTAGTGCAGTTTCTGTTGAATAAAACCGCCTGTAACCTGATTGATGCAAAGGCATTAGATTGTTGTTTGTTAAATGGTTTAGCAGAATTTGGACAACAACACGTTTCATGATTTTTGTCTTGAACAGAATATTTGATATCGGTCGGTAGTTTGCGACATCATTATCAACACAATTGGCCTTCTTTAAAATCGGGAAGACTACGGCATGTTTGAAACTTGCAGGAAATTCACATAACAGCAGGCGAAGGTTGAAAAAGCTTGTAAGAAAACAAATAAACAAATCTATATGTTTCTTGAAAATGTGTGTTAGCAAAATGTCTAGTGAACATGTTTTTGAAGGCGAATTGATTATAATATCTCTAAGTTCAGTTTCTTTGAGGGCAAGAAATAAACTTTACTCTGAAAAACGTACATCAATGTTTCAGGTAATTTAGAATCAAGATATATATGTGCAAACACATATTGAAAAATTACTAGAAGTTTATTATATATAATTTAATTTAACAGTCATCAGAAAATTAAAATTCCTTAATTTCAAATCTAATTTGGTTTTAAAGCCAACATTTCCAATTAATTTGTCATCTATTCAGATGATAGTTTCAATAGTAATTTTTTTCAATTGTTAAGACTTATAAGTTAAACATTATAAAATTGTTGCACAACAGACCAAAGGGGAATTAAGTGCAGAGAGGAAGGAAAAGTATGAACTGATGCAATCAACTTTCCAAAAACTGCACTCAAATGCCATTGTCTTTGCTGTTAGTTCGCTTTATCAAATTTATTTCTCTTAAATTTTTATTCAATAATGTTGAATATTTTTTCAAGTTTTCTTATTTTATCACTTTATATGCAATCTCACATTACTTCAAGACTAGAAAAAAACAATTAATCTTACTTGACCTTGAAAAATTTAAGATGTTGGACACTAATACACACACATGAATTAGACATTAGAAACGTGTGTTCATGAATAAGCTTTTATAAACATACACACTCACACGAACATCATACACACACATAGATAGGCATGCATGCCATGCGTAGTCGCACATATTTGCACATACACACGCACACTTGTACACACACACACACACACACAGGATTTTTTGGATCAACCACCGCTCGAACTACCAACTGAAGGTCGGTTGAATTAGTTGGGGTGATGATACAAATGGTGATGATGATGATAATAAAGTTGTTGTTGATGATGATGCTCATGGTTAGAATGATAGCGGGTTGATAGTGATTATTATCATGATGTTGATGTTTTTAGTTATGCTGATTGTAAAATTAACATTGTCGTTGTTGCTAATGATGATGATGTTTAATGGTACGATAGCAGGTTTGCTGCTACTGGTAACGGCAAAGACAGTCGAAAAATTGTTGAATGATATGGTGATTATTATTTTAACTCAATTTATACTCTCTGGTTACATAGTTGATTCGAAGTATAATAATAATAATAATAATAATAATAATAATAATAATAATAATAATAATAATAATAATAATGATAATAATGATAATTAAATGTGATGATTAATTTAAACAGAGTTGAAAAGTGAAGAAGATTCTTTTATGGGTGTTGATATCTTTTTCCCTGGTCGACCTGGAGATGTATGTTACAAACTTCTGTCTATAATGTTGACTGTTGTTATGTAGTAGTTATTGTTGTTGTTGTTGTTGTCCTGTAGTTGTTATTGTTATTTATGTTGTTGTCCTGTAGTTATTGTTGTTGTCATATAGTTATTATTGTTGTAGTTTTTTTTGTATGTTGTTCTTTTGTTTATTTTTCTTGATGTTATGAAATGTTGAGTTGTTGTGATATTTTATTTTAATTTTAAGTTCTTTGAATGATAATGTTTGTTTTTGTTGTAGATTTTGTAATGTGTCACTGACAACGCTAGGTCTGCTTGTTGTTGTAACTGTAAGGTTGCATGCAGTTTGTTGTCTGCTGTCTGCACATGTTGTTGTGATTAAGACGTTTCAATGTGTGGTGAAATGTTATGGTTTGATGTACGCTGTGATGCCACGTGATTTTATTGTGCTGTATTACTGTATTGCTGTCTGCTTGCTATGCAAGTTATGCGCCATGGACTATGTCGTTTTGGTTGGCTTCTGCTCTGTGTCCTGTCTTTGAGTGTTTAATAAGGTAGGATATTGATCGTGCTGATGGCTTATGAAACTTTTGTGTAACTTCTAAGAATAGTGATGGTTACGATGATAATGGCGGTGATGATGAGGAGTGGTGATGCTTATATGGGTCTCTGGACGCTAAACGAAGATTGATTGATTGATGATGCTCATATTGTTGATCATGTCGATAGAACCAGGATAACATTGAAGGAAGTTTGTTTGAAGATGAAGACACGAGACAGTTCTACGAGACTCTACCTGATCTGAGATCCCTGGTGCCTGGTGTTAGTACATCATCATCGTTCATCGTTTACTTCCTCTTTCAACTGTCCTCTTTACATTTTATAATATTCTATGTTTTTTTAATTCTCAACTGATTGTCTTCTGAATTTGTCCTAATCAAAGTGTATTTTATTCAAAAATTATTGTTTTTTGAAATCTTAAATGGTTTAATTTTGAATTTAACGCTAACGTATGTTCGCATGCAAGTTTAAACTTTGTATCTTGCACAACTATCATGAAATCAGCAGGCACTAGTGTACTTACTGTACCGTCTTCTTTATGTTAAGTACTACACTTTTTCACTACAAACCTGAAACAAAGCCCACGTGGTGCTAGATAATGTAAAATAGAAAGTTCTTATACTTGAAGCGACAAACGAATATAAATAATTATTTTATACAATAAAAAACGAACATGTCAAAAATGAATCTTTGCAATATTTTTTTAAAATTTTGTTTACAATAAGTATATATGATTGTAGCTAATATTACATAAACAAAAACATAATGAATCAACGATTGCAAACCATTAAACTTTATAATAGGAACTGGACCATAGCATTTGAATTTGAAATTTAGTGTTAACCAGGGGAAAGTTTGCGTTGCTATATTATATAATCACACATTATCAATGCTCATCTGCTTAAAATATCATAAATGCGCGTCGTCCGCGCTCTTCTTGCTTCCAGTAAAATGTACTATGGAAAGAATATGATTGGACAATTACAATAAAATTCCATGGAGTTTGCCAAAAATTTATTTAAAATTTATAAACTTGAAAATGATTTTTAAATTTAAACGCGAAAAGCATATACTCAGTTTTGCGGTCGTTCTCAATAATATTCCTCAAAAGGTTTTGAAATAAATTCGTGGCTTTGGAATCGCTAGCATGAAAAAATGGCGAAATTCTGACTATACAAATTTGATTAATAGACGGAAGGCTCAAATCTGCAAAAAAGGAGTCCTAGGAGAGTGGAGGTTGTTTATACGAGTACCTCATTAGGAGATGTTGGCACTTTGTTAATGTACTAACATGAGTTTTTGTGTTTTTTCACAAATAACCATGCAGTAAATTAGATAAGAGAGAATAATTGAAGATTCCTAAGTAAACTTACTTAAATTTCTATATTAAAAAAGTTAACTGTAATGATTCTTGAATTTGTTTAAATATTCAGAAATTTATATGACATATAGATTTTTAAGATTTTAAATTTGACATTGTTTGATATTCATCATCACCTTCATTGCTTGTCAGTTGAAGTTTATTTAGATTCAAGAATTTAGTTTTAACATTGTTCGGATGGATTGATCACTATCATCTTCGTTATAATTTTTATCTTCAAGATAAAATTTTTAATTTTGATAAGTTTTTGAGATCTTCGACAAATGAACCGGCTTAACCACTGAACGTGTTTTGATTTCACATATTATATTATTGTTTTTGGTTAATTTATTATTGGAGAATTTGTACAGCACCCTTTTTTTACTACCAAAAGGGCTTTACCAAACACACCGTCACACACATATAAAATAAAACCAAACAAACATATATATATATATATATATATATATATATATATATATATATATATATAGTTTTATAAGAAAATTTTTCACACTGATCATTCTTAATCCAACTCTCTCTTTCACGTAAGATTGTTTTATATAATATAACAGTCATCATCTGTTCTCATCATTGTAATTTTGTTGAGTTTTTTATGTGAGGTTTAAGACACTTTGATTGATTGATCATATCCTCTTTATAATTTCATTTGTCAAACGTTCATTCTTAGATAGAAGGAGATAACCCTTTTTATATAACATTCCTAACATTGACTATATCACCGTTGCAATTTTAATTAAACATTTTTTAAGATATCCATCATTATAATAATAGTACAGTCTTGTAGATTAAACTTTACTTTAAAACACGATGAACCTTACATTAGATACTGTACAAGGACAGTGAGCAGCAGCAGACGACACTTGCCCAGCAGCAAACGGACGGCACTCATTTAGAGGAAGGTACATTCATTTGGATGCTCTGTTGTAACGATAGTTGTTGACTGGGTTGAGTCGATTGCTTGTCGTCACTGAACGGATGAATATTTGGCAGGATTGTTGCCGCTTTTTTAGCTACATGTTGATTTCTTTTGTTGTTTCAAAACTCTGGCTGGGATGGTTTATATGGTCGTCGGTTGCAAAGTTGTTTGTATAGTTGATTGATTGATTTATTTCTATTTTGGGTAGATTTTGATTAAATTATTGATTCAAATTTTCAAGAGCTGACTTTTATAGAGGAAGTGGAAAAGCTCATTGATGACGACAGACCGCCGAAAAATGCAGCACTGCCCGCGACAACATCGACGACATCAACAACCTCAAAACTGACGCCTTCGTCATCATTAGCAACAATGCCAGTGGATGGATTAGATGGCAAGCATAAGGAGGAAGATCCAGAAGTCATTATCGAAGCTGAATGTTGGGATCATTCGTTCATTTCTGTTGATGTTGTTGATGTCCTTGTTGTCACGTGATATCAGTTGTTGTTTGTTATCGTTCTGTTGATTGTGGTGGTTAGTAGATGTTGTTGTCTGTGTTCGTTGTTTTGTAGTTGTTTTTAATTTTGGTGGTGCATCCTTTTCAAGTGATGTTTGTTTGTTTGTTTTCTTGTTTGCTCGTTTGTTTGTGGTGTAGTGATGATGATGCCGGCTACTCCTTGATCACATGCAGATCCAATGAAGCAACATTTTTATTGTCAGATATTTTAACATCTTTCAATTAATTCTTGCAGTTGAAGAGGAGGACAAAAGTGTCGGAGGAACGTTGAAACTTCTGCTAGAGTCGTTCTTGAGCAACTTGCCAAACTGTGTCAACAGAGAACTTATCGATAAGGTTCGACTTTCAGTTATATCTGTTCACTCACAAGCCAATAGAGTTGAATATAACCAGGCGTATCATTAATTTGCACTTATTGTGTGTGATGGTTTTGACAATCTGTCAGTTTTATGCTTACTGTTATTAACGTTAGAATCCATGCTATGTTAGCGATTTGATGGTTTTAAAATTAACAATAGGCAACCTAATTATCGTGTTAGCATTTTAACTACAATCGAAAATTGAGCTATTTTCTCTGCTTTTGCTATTTCTTCAACATTTTTGTTTCCATGTTCACCGGTTTTGGGATTGTGAATTTCACATGAAAATTATATTCCCAATTGCCTTGTCCAATAAAAATTAATTAAAAATGCTAATAGTTTACTGATGTATGTTTTTACTGCTTAGATTGAATTATTTTTTAAGACCAGTCACTTGAATCGTTACATGTCCATTCATAAACATCAGCCAACAACAGCGACAACATTAATAGATGGTCATCCGACAAAAATCACCTATCTCAACCGCCATGACACAATTTCTTCATTAGGCTGCCATCACCATCCCTCATTAAGTTGCATAGCTCATTGTTCACCATTCATTGTCAGGCAGCCATTGACTTCTGTATGAACCTGAACACGAAGGCTAATAGGAAGAAACTCGTCAAGACTCTTTTCCTAGTGCAAAGAACAAGGTACTCGTTGTTTTGTTTGTTTGTTTTTCTGTTTGTTTGACTTTGGTATTTTGTTTGCTCATTCTGAGCCATATATTTCTTTTTTTATATTTACACGTATGCGGTGTTCACATGCATGTGCGTGCATTTCATTTTTATTGCCAGTGACATTCACCACCACCATAATTTTCACCATAATTTTTACTTCATTAGGTTATCACCGTCATATTAATTATCAATATTTTCATCATAATAATTATCACTCAACCATCTATGCAATGATAATGGGCAGATATGACCTGCTGCCCTTCTACTCACGTCTGGTGGCCATCCTACACCCCTGCATGCCGTCCATCTCAGCTGACTTGGCTTACATGCTCAAGGCTGATTTCAGATATCATGTTGGTGTTGTTGTTGTTGATGTTGCAGGAGATGTTGCGATTGTTGGGGATGTTGGGAAAAAAATGTTTGTTGTTATTTGTTGTGATGTTTTTTGAGATGATTATTATGGTCCAGTGGTTGTCACAGGTACGTTGATTCTGTCCAAAACGTTTTTGCTTCATTAACGAGCTGATGTTGAGATTGTTTTAAAGACATCGTGGATGCTATGACTGATGCATTAATGTTGATCATCGCTCGCTATCATAATTTGTTTTTGTTAATAGTACATGTTATGCAATATGTTGCTAGTTAAGTTGACCAACATAAGATTTATTTGTTGTTGTTTTCATTCGCTGTTGTTTTAGATTGAGCATTGATTGGCTTACGTAGTATCGCCATTGTATATCTGCTACAATTTTTGTAAAATCGATTTTATGCTTTCACATTGACTAAATTATAAACGTTTAATTGAACAGTTTAAGAAAAAAGATCAGACTAACATTGAAATAAAACTCAAAGTCAGCAGGTTCATAGGTTAGTTAATGGTGCCACCTTGTTGCGTTTGTATTTTGCAATGCTGAATGTGTGCTTGCATGTGCTCTTCTCTATTTTCTGCCGTATGTCTGCGTGCCTCTTGCTATGCTTGTGCGTGTACCTCACTGTACTTTGTGTTATGTGTGCATGTATGTTGTTTGCGTGTGTGCTAGATTAGCTGTTGAGTCATTCCATGACGATCTGTCTAATCTTACCCCGTTTTCAACATTTAGATTATTCTAATAAATTGTTGTTAGATCGCAATATGAATGCAAATCCTCAATATTTTTCACCTGTGGACCTTTTCATCGTTTATATCTCTGAGTGTCGCATAAGTTGCAAATAACATTATCATTTTTCTTTTCGGCCAGTGGGGTTTACCTAAGTCAATTCCTTGGATGAATTTCGATAACTTGGCCCTGTTTTAATGTATTTTCTGTGTAACATTCTTACTTTATTTTATTTTCAATAAATTGCAGGTGAACTAGTGAAATTCAACATGTTCAATAAATCAGAGTGCCTTCATTGCATCAAGGTTCGTGGCTGTTCGACTGATTGATTGATTGGTTGCTATAATTAGTTCAGAACTATTTCCGTTCTGTAATCAGTTTCCAAATCAATGATAACAGCAATAACATCATAGACATTAACAGCAACAACAGTAACAGCATAAATAACAACATCAACACAAACAACAACAGATGCTGTTGAGTGAATTCACCCATCACAACATTGAAATGACCTGCGCCCTGCTGGAGACCTGCGGTAGGTTCCTCTACAGAAGTTCTGACTCGCATCATCGCATGAAAGTTTTGCTGGTAGGTCTTGTTGTTGATGTTGTTGTTGATGTTGTTGTTGATGTTTTCGAGATTTAGGATATTTATTAGCTGCTTAATTTTCCTGCAGCTCCACAATTATCAAATCATTGCAAGCGACCGTTGATCGGCAGCACAATTTAAAACTTTTTTGAAATTTTAAATTCTATTTTCTTTTACTCTGCCATCTGACCCATATCTTTAAATACGTATTAGCAACCTTGAATAAGCACTTGCCACTTCACTACATATTACACATGCCTATCTTGACAACATACACGTAACTGTACACACACCACACACACACACACACACACACACACACACACACACACACACCAAGGATGTAATGATGAGAAAAAAGGCAGCTTTGCACTTGGATAGCAGGTACTCCACAATGATTGAGAATGCATTTTACTACAGCAATCCTCCTGAATATAAAAATGAGGTTAACCTTTCTCATGGCTATTACAGTGGTTGGGATGTTGTTGTTGTTGCTATGCTGTTATGATGTTGATGTTATGATGATGTTATTGTTGTTGTTGCTATGTTATTTTTGTTGTTGCTGTTGTTGTTGTTACTGAGGTTTTCGTTGACGACGTTAATTAACGTAAGGTGAGACATACATGTTGCACTCACGCAGATACAAGTGACACTGCCCCCCATGCACCAGTACATCAGGTACCTCCTCTACAAGGAACTCTCCAAGACGACTGTTGAGAAAGTCCTCAAACAAATGAGGAAGTTGGATTGGAATGATCCGGAGGTGAGTGAGTGAGTGAGTGAGTGAGTGAGTGAATGAGTGAGTGGGTTGGTGTGGGTAAGTGAGTGAATGGGTGATTGAGTGAGTGATTGAGTGAGTGAGTAAGTGAGTGAGTGAGTAAATAAGAGTGTGTGTATGATGACAATGAGGGCGATAATGATGGGGTGATGACAGTTATGGATTCTGTAACTGATAATGATAAATTTTTTACCATAATGTTCGGTGTAATGATATACATTAGTGGCAGAATCGTGAGGTTGATTGACTGTCTTGAAGTAACGCATATGCTTTCATCACTTTCGTGTTGTCACGAGATCAAATAATGATTTCAATTTTTTTTTCAATTTTCGTCACTCATTTCGATTTTTTTCATTCATTTCCGGCGAAAATTTACACTCAAATCATTTTAGTCGAATGATTTAAAGTAATTTCAACCAAAATGATTTCCATTGCAAACTGTTTTTTTCAGATCAAATCGTATG